TGTGACGCCTCGCCAACTGCCATTCTCAACCTATTCACTCCATCAATTATGAAAAAAAGAGTAACTTTGTACAGCGGTTGCACTCCGTCTCCATCAAAGTGCACCTCACAAACATGCGAGCCCTGCACTGTTATCTCTGATCTCTAAAGTGAGGCTGACAAGCCTTACTTACTCTTCTTGACTGAGACGCAGATCAGATATCCTCTAGATGCGTCTTACCTTGGCTACCCTGGGTACACATTGGAGCATAATTTCCATCAGCGCGTCGGAGTCTGTGTTTACGTCCGCAACGATATATGCAGTAAGCGTCTCCGACATCTTGAACACCCCACTTTCTCCACGATCTGGGTATTGTTAGACATAGGAATGGATAAAATTATTTATTCTTGTGTCTACTGATCGCACAACGGTTACCCGGAGACAAATAGGCTATTTGAATACCTCAGTGAAGCCTCTGATGAGGCCTTAAAGCATTACCCGACTGCACAGTTGGTTTTTATGAGGGACTTTAATGCCTGTCATCTGGACTGGCTGTTCCCATACCAGAATACCGACCACGCTGGGAGAGAGGCGTAGAATATTTCCATGTTGCTGAGGTTCTGCCAGCTGGAATAACAAGAGACTAGGTCACCTGATGTGGATGGGCACATAGCCAACTGCCTCGAACTTTTGCTGACGATACGCCGTTAGTAGCGTAAGAGGCGATTTTAGTAAATTTTATGGCTTTCAATAGATGGTGCTATAATCATCTCGCTTACGTCCTACGTAAAATACTTAAGAAAACCGATCACCGGTCAACATCAAAGATGCGAGATGTCACCGGAGTTAGCTGTGTTGCTTTCGAAATCGATAATGTTAGTAGAAAACTATAAAAATGAATGGTAATAACACATCTCTACGTTAAATCACATGACATCACACATTCATATAATTTATTGTTTATTTAATTTAATGTCATAGTTTTCTATCAGCATTAACAATGGTAGAATGTAAACTTGGCTAGTCCCGCTGGTATTCAATCCTCTGGCCAAGGGTGTCGATTAAGGTAAATCCTCCGTACCTCGGTGAGGTTTGTGACCAGTAGTGGACTTCGAAAAAAAATGAAATGATAAAAAAGGGAAAGAAGAAGACGAATGACACGTCTAATTCGGAGAGTGTGCGCAGGAACTGCATCACTTAACTGCTCCGTTTCAGTTTCATTTTCAAACCATCAAACACTCCGCTGGTCTCCATCGCTTTTTCGTCGACATTTCACGCATTTATTCAAACCTAACGGCTTCGTAGTCCTTCCATCAGGTGGGGTAATTATCACGCACTGGCTTATAATAGTAAAAAAAAATATACAGAAGCAGATTATGTACTCACCTTAAAAGTATTATAGCATGAAAACAATTTAACATCCTATGTTGTAATTAATACTTCCTACAGCTGGGCATAGGTGTTTTATAATACATCAGAGAGTTTAAGAGCAAATTAAAATCTGCCACAGAGCCCCATTGCGTGTAGGCAGGGTTTATATTATTTCCTAAAAAAACTTATTAATTTATCAGTCATTGAAGTATTCCTTACATCGATTGCTTTCCCCACCGAGTAGGTAATCATGTGCACTTAAAATGTGTCATTATACTTTCAGAGATGCAGCTGACAATCGAACAGTGCTGTTCGTCTTCTATTTAATTAAAGGCAGGGATGGTAAACTTCGGTAACAATGGATTTATTCTTTCTTGTTATAAAATAAAGTGGGATATTTTTTGGAAAAAATCAAAAGACAATGAGCATCTTTACATTCATTTATTCAAAATCTCATACAAGCGGGGAAACAACAATTCAACGAAATTTGGACAAGATCTCCAAATAATGGTATCTGTTGTGTATATTTCGCACCATTTCTAAAAAGAACTTTGATTAAATTGAATGCATTTGATATCATCATTAAAAACAGCAAACTCATTTTTTACAGTCGTAATCTATGAGAAATGATAATTGAAATTTGTTTAACAATTATTTAACTATGCACTGGATTTGTTAAATACTTGTTGCGTCCTAAAGATTTTTCAATTGTGTATATTTCAATAACATTTTTTTTTATTTTACGAAAACACCACACTTTCTTTATAAAACTGTCTGCCTTTGCAATGTCTGTCTACAATTTAGTGATAAACTCGACTTACAAATTGGAGCAACTTATAGATATATTACGTAACATTAATAAATTGATTAAGTATAATAGTTAATTATTAATATCATAATACCTATCTCATAAAGTACCCAGTAGTAGTAGTATAAATATATAAAGAGGTGATTTCCAGGGGGGTTCGGTCGTCCCCGCGATCTTCATGCTAGGTACCATCGATCCTGTGACTCTTTTTGCGTCCCTAGGTTATATGTGTGACGCCTCGTCCAACTGACATGCTCTCAACATATTCACTCCCAACATTTATGAAAAAAAGGAAAAAGAATAGTGAGTTTGTACTGCGGTTGCACTCCCTCTCCATCAAAGTACACCTCACAAACATCCGAAGCCTGCACTGATATCTCAATGCAGTCAACTAATACCTTGAGGCTGACAAGCCGCACCTACTCTTCTTGACTGAGACGCAGATCAGATATCATCTAGATGCGTCATACCTTGGCTACCTTGGGTACACATTGGAGCATAATTTCTATCAGCGCGCCGGAGTGTTGTGTTTACGTCCGCAACAACATCTGCTTTAAGCGTCTCCGTCACCTTGAAGACCCCACTTTCTCTACGATCTGGGTGTTGATAGACACAGGAATGGTTAAAATTATTTATTCTTGTGTAGAAACAAACTTCAGTACACAGTTATTACTCTATATGATGTAAAAAGAAACTTCAGTTCACGGTTAACACTCTATATTTCATGTTAAATAAACACAGTTTACACTTATTTTCTTTTATTTTTCAACAATGAATTAATCAACTTTATAAACTTTCAATTTACACTAGTTCACTCCGACACGACTATTACAGCATAAATTCTATTGTATTCCCTCGGACAAGCCCGTCATTCCGTTTTATAGTCCCCCTTCCACTGCCAGGCGGAAGGGTATTTTAGTAGTTTCAATACTTCTAAGTTACATATATTGACATTTGAATTGTAGTGGAATATATTAACTACTTACAATATTTAATTACGGTGTAACAATAATATATTAATAATAGGATTAATTATGATTATTAACATCATGTATTACAACTCGGCCATCCTTTTGCTGCAACGAATCCCATCGTTGTGAGTTTGGTTTAGCCATTAAAAAAGTAATTTCTAGGTAAATAACATTAGCATAATATTTTTACTATAATATTAAAGCTTAGGTAATATTATTCCATGTCATTCAAACAAAACCCTACGCCCAGTAAAGTCTACAGCGTCTGTTACCATCCATATATATATATATATAAACACTCACGCCTGTCACCCAGAGGGGTAGGCAGAGATTATGGACTTCCATTTGGCACGATCCTGACACACCTCTTTCGCTTCCTCCACATCCATATACCTACGCATACACGCTCGTCGGTTAAAGGTACTCTTGATTTGGCCCATTTTTAATATATCGCCAATTTGGTCGATAAACTTTCGCCTAGGGCGACCCTTCCCGACTATGCCGTTCACCTCTGCAACATAAATTTGCTTTGTCACTCTTTCCTCATTCGTTCTTTCTACATGGCCAAACCACCGAAGCATTCCTTTCTTAATCCTGGTCACAACATCATCTTGCAAACCACACTCTTCTCTTATTAAACAATTTCTCACTCTGTCATTCAGCTTCATCCCTAACATACTCCTTAATGACCGCATTTCTACAGCATTTATTCTACTCTCATGCTTCTTCTGCCACACCCAACTTTCACTACCATACATTAAAGTAGGTACTAACACAGCATTGTGAATTGCCATACGTGCCTTTTTGGACACATTCTGACTTTTCACAATAGAGTGTAGAGCCCCATTCACTCTATTTCCTGCATTCACTCGTCGTTCTATATCCTTATCATATCTACCATCCCTGCTAAACACACATCCAAAATATACAAACTCATCTACTTGCTCTACCAACTCCCCTTCTATTCTTATTTCACATATCGTTTTACTTTCTTCTCTTTCAAAAACCATAACTTTCGTCTTACTTGCGTTCACATTCATTCCCTTTTCTTTTAATGTCCTGTTCATTAATGTAACCATCATTTGCAACTCGGCTGCCGACGACGCAAGTATGACTTGATCATCGGCGTACAAAAGGCATATGACGGTTAACTCACGCATTCTTAACCCGCATTCTTCTACTTTCAAATCACCATACCATCCACTATAGTAAAATCTTACATTCCATTTACTACCCTGGACCAGAATCAGCAGACTACACAGGACGTTGACCAGGTAGTGACCTCACCCTGAATATTGTGAGTTTACTTATCTTGTGCTTAGAATGTTATGAACAAACTCTTTCCTATACTCATCCTGAATATTATGAGCATAAGATAATCTTATATTAATGTGCACACCTTGAATATTGTGAGCACAATAAAAATCACAAACATACATGAATAAAAATAAAATAAAAGTACATGTTTATATACAATACATTGTACATTTTGAACATTTCATTTGGTGTTCGAATAAACAAATAACTATTTAAACACTTGCCAAAACTTTAAAAAAAAATTAAGCTCTAGTGACACATAATGAATAATGAATAGTAATTATAATATGACTTAACGAACAATCAATAACTTTGGTCATCATCGTCCTTACTGCTACTGTTTGAGCCATCACTATCATCATTGGCACTCTGAAAATTTAGCCATGGTTTCAACTTATCAATTGCAACAATTGCTTCATAACGGCTATCCTTTTTTGTTAGTGGTGTATCTTCGATAATGTACCTATCATTCGGTAAAACTTTTTTAATTCGATAAGGGCCCCTAAATTTTGGTTTTAACTTACGAGACTACCCTACTTGGCTAGAGATAATTCTCAAAACACAAGATCGCCTACCTTAAGGGCTATGTTATTTTTCACGCGAGTTTCGGATCGTTCTTTATATTTATGTTGCTGCTTATCTATAAGAAGCTTTGCACCCTGTCTGATGGTGTTTAAGTTAGGGGCAACCTCATTTTCATTAACGTCCTTGATGATGTCATTAAGGATCCCTTCGGAAGGATTTGTAATTCTATGGCCAAATAAAAGCTTTGTTGGAGACTTTTTCGTAATGGCATGAACAGTGGTATTGATTCCAAGTTGAACGTCAGGCAGGTACTCATCCCACACATTTATAGGCTTTTCGTGGGTCATTGCACCGAGTGCAGCCAGAATTGTGCGATTGTACCGCTCTACTTGGCCATTCGCTCTAGGGTGGCGACAGCGTCAAGGACATGTTTTTTTTTTTTATAGGATAAGGGTGACAAACGAGCACACAGTCCACCTGATGGTAAGTGGTCGCTGTGGCCCATAGACATCTACATCTATCTTCGATTAAGAGTCAAAATGCAGATGCGTTGTCACCCGTGAGGACTAAGATGGAATGCCTCGTTTCCAGTAAAAAGGGTCTCCGGTTCTCTACACTCACCATACGAAACACAGCAGCGTTAAGCTGCTATTTTACGCTGGTATTCTGTGAGAGCGTGGTCCTTCCCCGGTCGAGCCGACCCATTCGTGCTACAACCATAATATAGATGCAGCATGGCTCTACCACGTATAATACCCTTAGAAACTATAAAGTCCCGAAACTTTTTGCTTGTAAACCCTGATCGGTTATAAGTCTAGCGGGAGTTCCAAAATAACTAAAATGTTCTTTAAATATTCGAATAGTTGTTTTAGATTTCGTATTTTGCACTGTTGTTAAATTAACAAATTTGGTAAAGGCATCGACTATGACTAGAATATAGCTATTCCTTCGTTTGCTCTTATTGAAAGGGCCTAAATGGTCGGCATGGATAGTGTGGAAGGGTATGTCAATTTTGGGAATTGGATGGAAACTATTTACTTTTAGTCCACCAGTTGTTTTATGGTGGGCACATTCTAAACACGCGTTGACGTATTTTTTTACGAATCTTCTCATCCTGGGGAACCAATACATGGCTTATATTCGGTCTAAAGTTTTTGCGAACCCAAAATGAGCTGCGTTATCATGATTAGCTTTCAGAATCTGCCATCGCGCCCCTTTTGGTACCACCCATCTGTTTGTGTCTGCATCCAAAATCCGATAGACCCTACCATTTTTCAACTTGTAGTTTTTGATAATATCCATAATTTTTTCTGAATTAGGTTTTGAAAGTACATATTTGATATGTTTTATGTTCTCATCGTCATCTTGGACGGCTGCGATCCAATCCTCCGCATTTACCGCAAGGATGTCAAGAACGCGGTTTTCTGTACTCACATCGGGGATAGCATGTCGACTCAATGCATCGACGTGCGCCATTTTTTCGCCCGGTTTGTGCTCAATAGTACAATCAAACTCTTGAAACTGTATCCACCAGCGGGCAATGCGCGGAATTAGATCACGTTTGGTAAGGGTTGTGCGTAGTGCATTGCAATCTGTGAAAATTTTAAACTTTATGCCTAGTAGCTACACTCTGAATTTATTCAGAGACGCTACTACCGCCAGAGTCTCTAATTCGAAAGAGTGAAATTTCTGTTCATCAGCGTTAGTTTGACGACTATAATAGGCAATGGGTTGGAGAATACAATTAGAATTTCTTTGTAGAAGTATGCCTGCAACGCCCAATTTACTAGCGTCAGTGTGAAGTTGTGTTTCTGCTTCTGGATTATATAGAGCTAGTACTGGTCGTTGGATTAATTTTGTCTTAAGGATTTCAAAAGATTTTTGTTCTTCATAACTCCATTGCCATTTGACATCTTTCTTCAATAATGTTGTTAGCGGTCGTGCCAAGATAGCGAAATCTTTTATAAACCGCCTAAAAAAACTCGCCAAACCGATGAATCTTCTCACATCGTGTTGGTTTAGAGGAGTTGGGAATTTCGAAACAGTATCAGTTTTAAGAGATCCTGGACGAACTCCATCAGCGCTTATCTCGAACCCCAAGTACTCAATTTTGTCAAAAAAGAACCTACATTTGCTTAATTTTAGCGTAAGCCCACCTTCTTTTAGAAGTGAGAGGACTTCCTCCAAATGCAATAAGCCCTCGTCAAAGGTTTTTGCTGGGATCAGGATGTCATCCATGTAAACGAGAGCATATTTTACTCGTGCTTTGTTTAGAATTTTATTCATTGCCCTTTGAAATACAGATGGTGCATTCACCAGCCCGAACGGCATCCTGGTATATTCGAACTGCCCATCTGGTGTTACAAACGCAGTTTTGTCACGGGACCCCTCCTCAATCTGGTAATAACCAGATGCGAGATCCAAAGTGATGAATAATTTACTCCCACTCAGGAAATCTAGTTGGTCTTCGATGCGTGGTAAGGGGTAATGTTCTTTAATTGTTTTATTGTTAAGCGCTCTATAGTCCACACATAACCTTTTTTCCCCAGATTTCTTTTGTACTAGAACTATCGGGCTAGCATAAGGCGAAGCCGACTCCCGAACAATTCCACAGTCGAGCATTTCCTGAATCATGTAACGGACTAATTGTCAATCGGCCAAAAATAACCGATAAGGCCTATATACTATCGGTGATGAATCTTTTAGATGAATGACCATCTCTGCAGCTGTAGTGAATCCCAAGTTATGCAAATTTGATGAAAAACATCCTTTGTACTTGTCCAGTAAATTAGCTAGTTTATTCTTTTGCTCGGGATCCACAAATCCACAGTTTAAAGTCATCGACTCATCGTCTAAGTTTATATTTAAAACAGAGGCTATGTCGTTGCAATTATTAGTTATGCTACGTGCACTAGTTATTAAAGTTCCATGGCCTATCTCGACCGTATTGTCACTTAAACATTGAACCAGTAGCTTTGTTATTCCGTTTATTATTTCAAATTGGCCCGGTAATAAGAAATATTCTTTGCCCGGGAGTCCCCTGATATCCCCTGATTCATGAACGTAAATAGAACCAGAAATACCAGATTTAGCACAAATTAAAGAAAGGCCATCACGTTTTAAGATTAACTTTTCAGAAACTACAAGAGGTATCTTAACATTTTCAATTTGGAAGTTACTTCGCTTTATAATCAAATCTGAAGGGGTTTTAATAATTTCTATTGTAGGGCGCTCAGTATACGTGTGTCCAATGAGTATAGGATGGCTTATTATGTAGTCGTCTACTATTAATGCTTTTACATTTTCTTCAACTACACCTTGAATATCTATAGTTACGTACGTTACTCCTAATGGTCGATAAGGAGTATTTCCTAATCCTTTCAGAACGGGAGAATCAACAGCCTGCCATTTAACACATAATTTCTCTGCTTCTGACAATCGAATTAAAGTGCAGTCACTTCCTAAATCGATATGAGCAAGAAGGACATTACCGTTGACCTTTACTGGAACTCGGTACTTCGCATTGCTATTTTCAGTTATATTAACTTCCATTACCGTTTAGACACTGGTTCCCGGTTTATCTATATGTTTAGATGTTTGGCTAATATTTTTGGGACAGTTTTCTGCAGTGTGGCCTCTCCACCTACAGTTTTTACATTTAATAGTCGGGCATCTGTAAAATGTATGACCCGTCTCATTGCAATTGTAACAAGTTACTTTATGGTCAGGTTTGCTTGTTTTTCCCGTATCTGAAGAGCTTGTAGTATTGGAGGCGACATACCTTTTCTCTTTATTTTTATTATCATCTCTTTATTTTGACAAACTCTTATAGTTTTAAAGTATTTTAAAAGCTATTCTGGCTCATTAAATTGGGCTGCTTGTATGCTTAATATAATACCACGATCCTCGATTCCATAAATTATGCAGTCTACTGCATTTTTACCAAAAATGGAACATCTGTTTAATAGGTTAAGTTTTGAATAGTAATGTAATTCCAAAGATTCACCAAATTTCATGCCGGCACACCGCCTGCAACTTTACAAGGCGCAGGTTCGGCCTCACATGGAATACTGTTCCCATCTCTGGGCAGGGGCTCCCCAGTGCCAGCTCCTTCCACTTGACCGCATCCAGCGCAGAGCGGCTCGAATCGTCGACGACCGAGCCCTTTCCGATCGGCTCGATTCATTGGCACTGCGAAGAGATGTTGCATCTCTTTGCATTTTCTTTCGCATCTACCATGGGGAGTGCTCTGAGGAATTGTTCGGATTAATCCCAGCCGCCAAATTTCATGAACGCACATCGCGGCAGAACTCCCGATACCATCCACACCATCTGGATGATTGGCGGTCCACCACTGTGCGATTTAGAAGATGTTTTCTTCCTCGCACGACTTCGTTGTGGAATCGATTACCATCAGCGATTTTTCCGGACCGATACGACTTAGGGACCTTCAAGAAAAGAGCCTACTCCTTTTTAAAAGGCCGGCAACGCATCTGCAATTCCCCTGGTGTTGCGGTTGTTCATGGGCGGCGGTAGTCACTTACCATCAGGTGAGCCGCATGCTCGTTTGCCCCCTCTCCTATAAAAAAGAATAAAAAAAAATAAAAAAAAAATTTGATTTTTTACTAAGCATCTCCGTTAGTAGCTCTGCATAATTTTCTCTAGATGGAAACGAGTTCAGCAGTTTTTCTTTCCATTCTCTCCATGAAAAGAAGACCGAAAGCAATCCTTGGTACCACGTTTTTGCAACTCCGCAGAGTTTTGGCAAGGCATAATTGATTGTTTGCTTATCGTTCCAATTATATATTTGAGCGCACTCTTCTACTTTCTGAATCCAAGTATCGACCGTCTGTTCTCTTGTCATGGGATCAAAATCTGGTATAACGTTAAGAGCAGGAAATCTATCACTATTATCGGAATTTTTCTTGTAATCTTTCATTATATCTAACATTTTCTCAAATAAGCTAGCGTTCGTATGGTTCCTGTTAGGCTGACCATCATCGAGTTCAATCAAATGTTCGCGTTCTGTATTAAGAGAATGACTATGGTCACCAGTAACATTAAAGTTAAAACTCTGCTTACTTGAGTCCCTCCTGGTTCTGCTTACTCGGGGCGTCCGGGAAACCACCCGTGATGCTGACCTCGATCGCGCACGTCTCGGTGATTTCGACCGCACGCGGAGCAGAGACTTAGACCGAGCACGGTACAATGACCCTGACCGCGCACGATGCGAAGAACTAGACCGTGCTCGGTGTCGTGATCTAGACCGCGAGTGATGCGACTGGGTGGGGCTAAAGTCTCGTCGTTTATCTCGCCTTTTCTTTGACCGTCGCGACTTTAGTCGTTT